GGCCATCAGTAGCAACCCTGATCTGTCCCAGACGGCACTTATCTCGGGTCTTCAAGCTTACACCGGCTCGTGATGCCACGGAGAGGGCTCGAGAGCACTCCCGTGGACCCCATCAGAGGCGATTGCGACGGATTTCCGGAGGTCAATACCGGCGCCACCGACCGTGAAATGTACCGATCCACAGCCCTCATGCACCAGACGCATGGATGCAGTCATAATATGTAGGCCTTCTCTCCCAATCTTTTGAGCAATAGCCGCAAGTAGTACTTGTTGGCACCGCGTCATTCCGCGACACATCCAGGTGCCGACAAAGCGGCTTCCCAGCTCACCACCTCGCCTCTCCTGCCGCTCTCCTGGCCCAGGCCCATCAGTATCAAGCCTGAGCTGTCCCAAACCGTCCTTATCTTGGGTGATGAAGCCCACTCTGGCTCATACCAGGGCTCTTGCGGCCTCACACACGCTTGTTTCACCCACAGACACCACCGGCACGCACTCCCACTTCACACGTGCTCAAACACAACCCCACCAAAGCACAGCCCTGCTCAGAATGGGCAAGGTCCACCGCTTGGTGACCCAGGTAGCCTCTGGCTCGTCACTGCACTCGGCTCCTCTGCAGCGATCTCGCGCTCTCGCCACGACAGCACGCCGACGGCAAGCTTTGACGGCCGTCTGGTGGATCTGCTGTGGCCACAGCCGCCCCTCACATTCAGCTCGCATCAGAACTCGACACTGGGCCCTCTCATCCCGGTCGTGGCGGCGTGTGTGAAGGATGCGCGGCCGAGCCGCTGGCTGGCGCCGCTTAAACGTCCGAGATGCCCGCAGCACAGGCCACGCGTCGCGCCGCCGGCCGATCCCAGCCTCTCGGCGGTCGAGTCGGTCGAGCTGGCGGGCGGAGAACAGCGAAGAGGGCAGCAGCGGAGCGTGACAGGCCGTGCTGCGAGCCATTCGCGCCTTTGCCGGCAGGCTCTGTTCACTGTGAACAGAGCTTGGATGCCCCCTCGGACACGACGCTAGGCCCAAACTTGCCTGTGCCGTGACGACGCCCATTTGAACCGTTTTGCACGATTTTTTTGGCTGTCTCCCGAGGCCCCAGTGCCGGCAACACACAGCCAAATGCGGGGATGCGTGAGGAGGCACCTGGGCCGCGTTTGAACGGTGTGAAAATGGTGTGAACACGGTCTCTCTGCGATTTCGGGCCCGGGGTTGTGCGTTTATGTGAACACGGTTGTGCGTTTACGTGAGCCCGGTGCGTTCCTCTTATTCTTCTCTGTGTGTGTGCCAGTCCGCGCCAGTCCGCGCCCTTGTCGTGCCAGTGTGCTCTTAGAAGGAAAGAAAGAAAGAAAACAGACAACCCAAGGGAGGGATGGGAGGACGGCACGCCGCCACCACACAGGGATTTTAAGGAGAGGTGTGTGGTGCGCTATCCGTCGCCCACCCTAGGGAGTCTGCCTCTTAGAGATCTTTTTTTAAGAATTCTTCTGTCTGTTCTCGCGTCTCGCCGGCTTCTCCCCAGCCGGGTGGCGCTGTGTCTGATAGAGGTCTGAGGCGATGAGGTTGACCTCCGCCGCTACGTTGCTCGCCTGCCTGTCGTCGTGCGCCAGCGCCAGCAGCATCGCGACGGGCGAGGCCCAGGCGGGCCAGCAGCCGCGCGAGGACCGCACCGCAGCTGCGGGCAGCAGCTTGCCTCCCGGCTTGGGCTTCCTCCGGGTGCTGGGCGGCGAGTGCCGCTCGTGCCTCAAAGAGTGCCTGGGGACGCAGGCAACGGCGCTGCAGCAGGCGTCGCTGCGGTGGCAGGCTCCCATCTCGCTCGTCACCTGGCGCGCACGCACGCCGCCCGCTCCGCCCTCCCCTCTGTCGCCAAACGAGGGTCGCACTGCGCGGCAGGTACCTCTTTCGCAATCGCCCCTTCAAGATGTGGCCGCTCGAGGAGGTGCGCGACGCGCCGCTGCCCCGCCGCCGCGCGCGACGCCACGCCGAGCCCGCGCCCTCCGCCATCACCCGCCGCCGCTCCTCCTCCCCCACGTGATGGAGCGCCCTCGGCGCCTTTGCAGGTGGTGTACAACGCGCTCAAGGTGCACCCGGCCGTGTGGGGCTCGCTCGCCGCGGGGGGCTACATGAGCTGTAGCAGCCAGTGCGATGCCGAGTGCCCCTTCCCCGGCCAGCGCTACGACCCGAGCGGGCCTGCGATGCGCGAGCTCGAGGAGATCGACGCGGCTGACACGAGCTGGCTGATGCGACTCTACCGCCAGGGCGGCTCGCGAGGAGGCGGGTCGAGGGGAGGGATCCAGGACACGCTCGGGACGCTCTTCCAGCTCTGAGGGGGCGGCGCTCTCTGCTGAAAGGGGACAGGGTAGCGCTGTGGTGTGCCATCGAGATTGCTTCGGGGCGCGCTGCGGGTCGCAGGTTCTGGTCTGTGATCCAGCTGGTGTGCACCCGCAAGTGGCCGCTCGCGACTCGTGAGAGCCGCCGCCTCGCATTTCGTGTGCACTCTAGCGAGAGACATCTGACATGCCGGTGTGAGCTGTGAAAGCTGTGAGCCGTGGACCGGCGTGGTGTGGGCCATCTGCGCCCTCTCCGCGCCCGCCATCGCGGCGTGCACCGCTTTACTCCGCTGTGAGCATCAATGAACAATAAATCAGAAAGCGTCACTGGGTTGGACGCATGGGGCGACGCTCTAGGGCGGCCGGCGGCGCGGGCGCGCGGCCCCGGCGGCCGGCGGCCGACCACCGGCACCGCGCGGCCCCGGCGGGGGGGGCCCGGGGCCGTTGGAGGAGAGCGGGTTGTCGACTACCCCTCCCTCCTCACGTGGGCGTCGCCGTCACGCCGGCGAGGTCTGCGCCGCGCATGCCGACGAGCTCGCTCCTCAGCGCGTGCACGAGCTGCTCGGCGTCGGAGCGGCTGAAGCAGAGGGGCGGCTTGATGACGAGCACGTTGTCGTGCGGCCCGTCGATCGAAGTGAGGATACGGTGCTCGTCCTTGAGCCGCGAGCACAGCCAACTCGTCTCGGCGGCCGCGGGCTCGCGGGACGCTCGCTCGCGCACAAACTCGACGCCTACCGCCAGAGCGGGCTCGCTCAGAGCAATGAGTCTCGCGCCTCAGTCTCGCGCCTCGGCGGACTCGGCTCTCGGCGCGCCGATGAAGAGGCCTGCGCCGCGCACGTCCCCGACGACGGCACCGTGCGACGCCTCCTCCGCCCGCAGCGCCTGCAGCGCCGCCCGCAGCCACTGCCCCGTCGCCGCCGCGTTTGCTCGCAGCCCGTCCCGCTCGATCG